GTAGTAGTAGTAGTACGTAGTACGTAGTACGTACGTACGTACGTACGTACGTAGTAGAGTAGTAGTAGTAGTAGTAGTAGTAGTAGTAGTAGTAGTAGTAGTAGAGAGAGAGAGAGAGAGAGAGAGAGAGAGAGAGAGAGTAACAAGCCTGCCATTATTTCACAGGAGAGCTTATTTGCTCTAATCCTGCTTATCTCCAAAATGCCATAGACATTACAAAGGATATTAAATTTCTTCTAAAGAGACGACTTCTTTGATACGATATCAGTGCTTAAGAGTATCTAGTTTTTTGGAAACACCTGCAACTGTAAGCAGGTCTATTTCTTTGCTATTAACTTAAAATGACACCTTATTGTTTTTAGGATATTTTATTAAAATACCTATAAGAGAAGAACCATTTAGTGTTTTACCCATTTGAAACTATTCCAACCCATGATCACGTATCTTTTAATGAGTATTTTAAAATTAAATTGTAAGACATGGGTAGAATGCTAAAATAGCTGATTTCTAATGGGCATTTGGATAAATTTTCCATGTTTATATTCATTAGCTTCCGTTTGAGATTAGTCCACATCAGATAGCGACATCTACAATGTGCTTCTCTTCTATTAATTTTGCCAATTTGGGATGCAACTTACTATGCAGGCACATTTGGTAAAAACCTGATTAAATCTGAGTGAATCATTTATGACAATATGCAAGACTAATTAAATGCTAACTAATGCAACTAATTGATAAAGAACATGTAAAAATTATAAAATAATGGAATTTCTAACAAGAGAAACGATTAGAAGAACAAAGAGGTTCGCATCAATAACAACATAACTTTTTCTTTCTTTTTTTCCTTTTTTTTGCAATGTTTGAACGCCAAAAAGTCATGGGAAGTTTTGCTTTAAAAATAAGATAAAATAATGTATAAAAATAAAACCAATTAGGAGATTAATGAAAAACAGTGACATTACTTGGTAGCCACCACAGAGATATATATGACATCATTGGGTAATCCCCCACTTGTTCCTCATGATTAACGGAGGTAATGCCCCCATAGGTGTACCATATAATGTACAATCTGTTTGCTACACAACAATGCCATGAATCACTGAAACTATGTTTTCTCCACATAACGACCGTAAATGCATACACACTTGAGAAAAATTGATGCGGCACCTCAGCCAATTCTGGAGAAATGGCAAAAACAGAGATGTCTCAAATAATTACACAGCTGAGTACATTCATTGGAAGCTAATGACATTTACAAGAATATGCTTTCTTTCTTGGTCATGCAATGGAGAGGAATCTGCATTTTTGCTAATGAAATTACGACATAAAATTCCATTTATCAGGTAGGCATACCTTTCGGGTCTCAATGCATAAACAGTCAGCAATTTGGCTAAGCTTCTGCACCCACCTCTGCAGAAGCTAACACCAATTGAGGAGTTGGAATTCCTTCTTTTCTCGCCTTTCGGCGCTCACGTTGAAGCCTGAAGTTCTCCTTCTTCCTTGCCCTATAACTATTTGGATTCTCAGGCTGTAGTACTCGTGGATAAACACTAATCTGCAATTATCAGAAGTTCATGAAAATGCATTATCACTTGAACAAGATCCAGCGATATGCCCCAAAGCCAATGGCACAATCACTGCTCCGAGTTTAGGGCCTCTGATTTAAACTGAATCGGATTGGTGAATCTTTTTTGTTTCGTATAATATTTTAACACACTATTTCTGAGAAATTCTAATATTTCCTCAAACAATCAAGTTTTTTTTTTTTCCGTCTTTTACTTAGACTTTCTTTTTCTCCTCATCTCTATCAGAAACCGAGGTAACCCAAAGTGTCAAATACCTTCCAAGAAATTATTCATTTGAGGAAACAAAATATTATAACAGTCCTGTGAACAGATTAAGGAAAAGGAAATAATAACAATGATTGCGTAAACTTACCTTTTTCCTATCTGGTCCAAATTTCTCAAACTTAACCAGACCATCTATTAAAGAGAAAATGGTGTGGTCCCTGCCAAGTCCGACATTCTTCCCTGGGTGGAACTGAAAAACAAATAGGGAGCAAAAAGTTAGAGATTGGTCATAATAAGACAGAAATATCCATATAGTAGCTTCTTCAACATTTTTAATCTAAAATCCAAGTAGAAGATGCTCAACGATGTATACATGAACAGGTAAGCACCAATAATCCAGTTCAGAAGTTAAAGAACAGAATAACACTGCCCGAAGTGAAATGCTTACATTTATAGAGGCAACGATTAAAGTTAACATTTCTCAATAAAAAAGGATAAAGAGGCAATAATTAATCGTAGAGCTATTAGAAGGCCGATCTTAACAAGAACACATAAATGACGAGTTGTAAAAGGAAATGTTTCTTGGTAGACTTGTAGCTGAAGTTCTAGCATGGAGAGAAGAGATAGCATCTTTGGCAACGAAAACATGTGAGGCCAAGAGACCTACCAGGAAAGATATATAGACAGGGATTAAGGACGACCTTTCTCAGATAGGAACATCGGTGGCCTACAATGTTGTACAACTAATTCCAATGCTAATGGGAAACAAGCTAGTCTCTCTAATGAGGCTGGGCAAATCTGCACAAGCATATACGAAAGCATATGCCAGAGGTCCCAAGAAAATGCACATCATGTCTATCAACAATGTACAACTCTTAGATAATGGCACACTAAGCCTGCATATAGCAAAACAGCCACTCCTTTATTGGAAGCTCAATATATGGTTGCAATGGTTGCAATGGTTACAAATGTCTCCACTCAGTAAAAACAACAGTTCGCAGGGAAGTGAAAATATGATAAGAAGCCCAATGAAGACCCAAATAAGGATATAAAAAAAAAAAAAATCAAAGAAGCACCGATTGAAGAATGTACCCCAAAATTGAACTTCAAAGGGGGAGAGAGAGAGTGTGTGCATGTTCAGGTGGAGGTTGAAGAATGTATCAACTATCAATTCACTGGAATCCAAGCAGTACAAATGAAAGGAGAACAACCTAGTAAATTTTTTCTAGCATGGGCCTCAAAATTGATCTTCAAAGGTTTTGAGGATTTTCCTCAATTGACACTACAGGGGTCAATCCTTTGATATCAGGCTTAAGTGCATCTTTCATGTGGAATAGTGGTTTTGAAAGCTTTGTTACTTATGTACTATTGTGCCATGGTGTCACTGGCCCAAGGGTTTACAGCATCAAACTATACATCATTTGAGATCTGTAAGTTGTATTCATCATTAAGCACAATAAAATGCATTAAACTTACCAAGCACTTCTAAAGCTATTAAACTTTCAAACCCAAACTCTGAAAGATAAACAATAGAGCAAGCAAAGATGACATGGAAATGCTTCTCCTGGACCTATAGATTCTCAAGGTGCTCAGTTTCAACGAATTGTGTAAAGAAATAAAAAATACATATAAAGCAACTTATTACTAAGACGTACAGATCATTTGTGAATTATTTAACTCTACATGCATTTTTGATATGTTATGTTATTTATATGTACCTAAAGGGTATTGTTTTGACTTTCCCTTTCAAGACATAGGCATTATAGTCTATCCATTATACAAACTATGCATGTGCATGTACAGAAACTGTCAAATCTCTCATTCAGAACAATTATTCATCATCAGATTCCAACTCCGTCATGGTATCAAAGCCACTCAGACCTAGGGTGTCGATGAGCAAAGTTCTCAAAAGTTCTGTCATCATTAGAATCTCTCCCTTCCCTTCTCTTTCTCTCTCTATATTCTGTATTTCACTCATTTCTCTTACCTTATACACTACATACATCCAGAAAATAAATATTCTTTTATCTGCCAGCTCTCATCTTCTTCACTCTTTCCAAACTCTTACTCTGACCTTCCGTGATTCCTCTCTCAAACAAACAAATGATAAATAAACAAACAAATGATAAATAAAAAAATTTAAGGAGAACCATGGCTGTTCTGCAAAAAAAATCATTCAAACTCGAAAAACTTCATTTCCCCTTCAACCCTCCAACCTCGAAAAACTTCAGTTCCCCTTCAACCGCCATTTTCTGCCACTCTCACCGTATCCTTCTATTCTCTAACATTAGCCCACCATACACTACTTCAATCAACCAGGTGGTACCACCTTATTAAACACAACATGGCTGACGGAAGGGATAAGGACATGGTGATCAGAGAAGCAGTTCTACATGTCAATGATTATATAAGAATGGTTCTGCAGGATGCTCAAATTTGATCGTGAAACAGGCCCAAATCAGTCCAACAAACATAAGCTAATCCACCACACTTGCAACACACTAAATCACAAGACAGCCACAAAAATTTACATCAGTGTACAAAAACTCAAACTCAGTCCCCAACTTGGACAATGCCAAAACAGAGCCAACTTGTCCAGTCATATGTCAACCTGGAAAAACTCAGGTGAGTTTTGTAAAAGCGTTATAGATAGTATACCGCCATAACACCCTCACTTTCATTTTTACTAACTCTGTTATATTTGATCTATAAACTGTAAAATTGGTGCAAATCATTTCAAGACTCATTCATGTGCAAAACCAAGTTGACTTGGTAACTCATTTGAAACAAGGTTTCACTGGGCTAAATATACAGATCAATGACTTCCAATCGACTTCTAATTGCTTGCTGGCATGTCAATTGCTCCTCCATCTAATCCTACTTGCTATCCCAAAACTAGTATAATAACTTACAAGACTGCTAATCCAAGTATTTATGCCCTAATATTCCCATATCTTGTTGTAAACGTGTACTAATTTGTACTGGAGAAGGTCAATCTATCCCTATTCCCAAGATTGGCAAGTGACAAAATGCTCATTTACCAGTCAATAAGACTTTTTTCTCGGGCCAACATTCTTTTGACATGAAGATGAACATTCATTACTTCCCTTACATAATATGAATGAACATCACAACTGGCTGGTGACCCAAAGATTCCAACTGCACTTTTGCTTTGGATAGTCAGCTTTGTTTGCCAGAGAGAGAATCCAACACCTGTTTTATAGCAAACCAGGTCTGTGTCAACACATTTCCATGTGTGCCTTTAAATGAAGTGCTATTTTTCTTTAAGCCAATTGAGCCATCAATTATTCAAACTTTGCAGCTCAATGGGAGTCATATTTTCACATTCCCATAGTATCAAGAGTCATAGCACATTAATCCCATCAAATCCTATCACTCAAGTTGTTCATTCTTCATTGTGCCCATCCTAGTTCTCAGGAAAAAGACATGGACAATCATTCTTTGTTCAATTCCAACAATATGAAACTTGTTGGTATCCTCTGCATACAGAAAATTAAACAACTCTAATGTAAGCATTGAGAGATCAAAGGATCACCTGGTAGCCAAAGGCTAGAAGAGTTCAAGGCTTCAGTTGATGGCTTAGCCAAAACAAATGATTTTTAACAAGCTTTTTATAAGCATTCAATGAAATGATGAAGTGGGTTCAAGCCTTCAAGGATCTAACTTTGTGCAGGTTGCCTAATTGCATGGCAAGTTGTCAATTGTGTAGCTCACACTAAATTTTTTCAAAGTGGCAAAATTTGTTTGGGATACCAAACATGGTCTTTATTCTGGCCACATGAATTTTGGAGGAACTGGCCCCTTTGTTTTACTATTGCAATCAAATGTACAATTGTTGTACGGACCAGGTTGTAAAGGTGTATGTATGAAACAAAAAGCTATTATGGTTGCATTCCTTATCTCACTTTTAAACACTCCAAACCTCACTCTCACTGCCTTAAAGTGGCATTTCCATCTTATCTCACTTTTAAACACTCCAAACCTCACTCTCACCGCCTTGAAGTGGCATTTCCATCTCCCTTAGATGGTTCCTTTTCCCTCTTTCATTTTTCAGTGAGGTGATCTTTCTTTAATATAGGCAATTTCTAATCTTCAAAGTGTGTATTGGATCACCTTAACAACAAACATACCGATCTACATCAAATATGAAAAAAACCATGGATGAAGCAAGGAATGAGCTATTCTTTTCGAACTATTTTACCCCAAACAAATATGAAATATAATCTCATTTGATGCAAATGGTTAAAACCAGCGTAACGGGACTTGACTGAGGCCACCCGGACTCCGGGAAGTAACTCAGCCTTGCCCTAAGTTACCCCAACTTGTGTGTACAACTGAGGATATATAAAAAAATTCCAAAACAAATTGCAAAACAAATTGCAAAAATGTGGGGTTGTTGTATAAAAAATTTTATATAACAATTTGGATTTTTGGGCAAATATCGGTGACTTATTTCCGGCATAATCCCTATTTTTATATTTTCTTTTTTGAATTTTTTAAAAATGTCCCCAACTATAAATCAGTTTGTTTAAATCCATTTTTGTATGCGTTTTTAAGGTTGTCTTTAGTTTTATTTAATTTAGAAGTTTTTTTTATGTTTAAATTCTCTTTGGATTTTAAAAAAAAATTATCCAGGGCTTTTGGCCCTATATAAGACTCAAGACTCGGCAAGTAGTACCTTGGCCGAGGCAATTTCCTAAATACTAGTCAAAACATAAAGAGTGTGGTTTGTTTGTATAAGGTGTCAACCTTAAACAATCCAAGTAATTTACACTAAAAGATTAGTTTTGGTATTGGAAAGCTCTGTGATAGCCCAAGAAATTGTTTTCAGCGGTAATTGTGAAATTTAGAGCTCTAAAAATGATATAGATCGAATACATCTATGAACTTTTGAAAATTTAAAAAACCGACAGTCTAGATAATGTGCTACAAGATGCACTATTTGAATTTTTTATCTTTTCATGTCCGTATATCTTGAGGTCAAGATGATCAATTGGAGGGCTTTGCAATGTCCGAACAATATGGTTTTGTGGGTTTTTGAGTTGTGCATTATTTCTCCATTATAAGGTTAAAACCTTACATAAACTCTTTCCAAACATAAAACCATGAAAGAGATATCAGACATAAGAGCATCGCAAAATGTAGAAAATGGGGAAAAAAGTAGTAAGTGTAGAGCAATTACATTCACAACAGAACCATTCATCAATTATCATCAATGATCAATCAAAATTAAAAAATATTCAGTGAATCAACAACCCATTTAAAGTATACAAATTCATGTGAGTTCCTTCGACTTCATGAAAATGGGGCCTTATTTGTGAGAGAGAGAGAGAGAGAGAGAGAGAGAGAGAGAGAGAGAGAGAGAGAGTATATATATAGTTACGACGACGTACGGACGTAGTAGTACGTACGTAAGTAGGAGGGAAGGAAGGAAAGGAAGTAAGTAAGTTA